ATTCCTCGAGTGAGCTCTGTCCCTGCAGCCCTCAGGCAAATCCAACAGCACCAAGCCCTGGCTGAAAGAACTGAGCAAAGAAAGCAGTTCATTCCAAAGAAATGGGATTTGGAATGTGCAGGATAAACAACAGGGACTGAAGATTTATTCAAAATCTCTTTATCGAGATCTTCTCCCACCTGAATCTTTTGTCGATGTCTCTTCCCACCTGAATTCTTTATCAATGACTGTTCCCACCTCAATCCTTTACCAATCTCTTCCCACCCGAATTTTTTGCCAATCTCTTCCCACCTGAATTCTTTACCAATCTGTTCCCACCTCAATCCTTTACCAATCTSTTCCCACCTGAATTCTTCACCAATCTGTTCCCACCTCAATCCTTCACCAATCTCTTTCCACCTGAATCCAAACTGGTTTCAAGATAAGACAACATCACTTCCATGCTGGAAAACTGCACCTACACTGCTTGTGGAGTGAAATGTGTTTGAGATCAGACATCTCTGCTTGAATCACTTTAAAAAAAAAACTCTCCTGGTGCCAGCACAACTGTGTGTGAGGAGGTACAAGAGAAAGAGAAAGAAAATCTTTGAGTGGCTGTGTTGCTAAGGAAAGCTCAGTGGCTGAGCTGAGTTATGGTGTTTAATTCTTTAATTCCCAGTATCATTTACAAACAGCTCACACCTCTCCAAGGAACATCAGGAGTAACCTGGGACCAACATCTCAGCCATAACACAGGACAAAAAACCAAAAATACCACCAGCAACAGCACCAGCAGGGCAAACAACCCTGCAGTGACTCATTCCTGACCAAGCACCACCTGCATTTGCTGAATTTGTGAGAGAAAAGATGAATTCAGGACATTTCTGTAGCACCACCTAGATTTGCTGAATTTGTGAGAGAAAAGATTAATTCAGGATGTTCTGTGCAGAGCTCACCATCCTTGGCTGAGCAAAAGCAGCTTACCTAAAGGCTGGATTTTTAGCAGCTTCCTATTTTCTGTTCTTGAAAAAATAGTGTTCACAGAGTATTGAAAAAGCAGTAATTCACAAATAGCTGATAATCTGGACTTAATTTTGGTTTTTAAGAGCAGCTGCTGTTAATTCAGGGCCAGGCTGGATGRGCTGAAGGTCTGGGAAGGTGTCCCTGGATGGGCTTTAAGGTCCCTTCCAACCCAAACCATTCTTGGAATCAGTGATGACGCTGAAGGTACAAAAGGAACCGCCACAAACTCAAAGTTTGGATCTGCACAAGCAGAAATAAAGCACAAATTCCTCGCCTGGCTCTCCGCAATGCGTATTTTTGTGTCATAGAGGGGAAGATGATGGTTACTGRGGATATTTGCATGAAGGAACTATCAATATTCCTAATTTACAGGGTGTAAGAGCCCTTTGAATGTCACCAGATGTGCCCCAACATCAGAAGGGTAACGAGGACAAGGAAATAAAACCACACTCCCCTGGACYCAGTCCAAAGTCATCAATAAAAAGCTGATTTTTTCTCTACCTTGACTTTTTTTTCCTCACTGTCCAGAGAATTGGCACCATTGCTTTGTGAGACAATTATCTCCCAATATCAAAGTGTTGTTGTTTTTTATTTACTGTGATTTCATTCCACACCTCCTCAGCTCCACTGCTCACAGCAACATCAAGTAGAACCCTGAGGAAACACTGCCAATAATTCAAATATTCACATGGCAAGAGGTGGAACTGGATGATCMTWAAGGTCCTTTCTGCCCCAAATCACTCTGATTTTCTGATGATAATTATGCCTTAAATTATATTTTTAGTAAATATTAATAAACCAGGCTTTGTGATACAGAAATCCTAATTAAAGGAAGACGTGACATTGATGATTTGTCATTTATTCCCATTCATTCTGTKGGAATTGATGGATGGAGTCACATCCAAAAGGCTGATAATAAAAGGATAAAAACCCCAAAAAATCTGTGATTCTGAATAAACACCCAAAACTTCCCGATGCTGCAAAGGATCCTCTGGATTACAACTGTCGGTGTCAAAGCAAACTTTGGGGCATTAATTCCATTTTTTGGGAATCAGTCCCAAGGAGGACTTGGGGTTTCCATCAGTCTGGATGACCAGGGATTAATTTTTTTTGCCCAAAAAAAATCAGCAAAAATTATTCCACGTTGTCCTCGGAAGCAGGAGCGGAATGACAGAATATTTAGGAAAAAAACGCAAATGCACAGTTAGAAATTCTAAATACAGCACGAGAAATCAAAACCCACAGAAGATAAAAACATCTCTTTCAGGCTGACTTTGCCCCCTCTCTGCTCCTTAAATGAATAATGAAGATGTTCCTTGGCTCCAGACACCACGGGGGAATAAAATGTCACCGCGGCAGCTGCCGAATTTCCCGCTCCCAGCCCTTCAAATTAAGGGAAAAAACCCACAAAACGAAGGGAGAATTTGATTAGGAAAAGTTCAAATCCTCGCCCAAAGCCCGGCTCTTCCTGCAAYGTGGCATTCTTTTCTCCTTGTGTAAACTCCTCATTAGAAGCCAGCCATCTTCCTAATGGGATAATTGGGRTTATAATGGAACTGTGGGAACACAACTCGGCATTAGGAGGGGCWGCACGGCCCTATAATGTTGTTTTAATGTGATTTAGGGGCTGCAGGAATTGCTTGAACCTGCTGCTGGAGGATTTGATCGATGGGAATGAGGGTTTTAAAGAGATGAACCATTTGATAATTCCCAATTTGATCAATGTGGATCGGGGCCTTGGCAGGGATCCGACATTTGGGATTTCAGTTTTGTGCAGGGAGCAATAGGAACTGCAGGCACGAGGTTTGCCAGGTCCCTGATCCAAATCCATGTGGGATATTTTCTCCTTTTAATGGGGTTAATTATCCCTAAAGGCTGATGAAGCCACAACCAATGTAATTCCAGGGATTAAAAAATCCAGGAAATATTTAATATACAACACCACCATCCACTTCTTGCTCTGGGAAGAGCTGCAGCTTAAAAAGTGGAAGGAATTCAAATTCCATCACTAAAACTCGGTACCTAATTCGAGCCATGCCTAAAATAAAGTCAGCCTATTTGCTAATAACACCACAATTAAACCCATTAATCTTGCACTTGGAACCTGAAATCACAGGCAGCAYACGGGTTTATGCATTAACAAAATTTAGCAGCTCAACCTTATTTAATTCTTCTTTTTCCAGCCAATTAAACAACTCTTTAAACACCCCTGGAGCCTCTGTCCTCTCAATCCTCACGTGCAATTAAACTGCACATGAGAAGTGYCTGGTGACACCACGAGAGCATCTTTAGGTCTCACTAAATCATTCCTCATTTATCCATCAGCTTCTGTAAAAGAGGCAGGGATAAAATAACAGCTTTTATTTCRTCGTTGAAACCTTCAGTGAAAAAATGTGGTGTTTAAAAAAGGATTTGATGTAAGGGAAAAAAAACCTTTAAATTATAAAGTGATATCGGTATTTCAGGTGCTTCACAATGATTCTGTCACAATTTATGTGCATATTTCAGGCACCTTTTTATTTCCTGATTTTTTTTTTTTCCTTTTGTTTTCTTGTAAGGCAATGGATCTGCTGATTTAAAAATTCCAAATAATTTTTAGGAAATTTGGGTTAAAAGCAGCTCAGCAATTGCAGCACTGCTATTACACCCCAGTCAAATGGATGATTTCAATTTATCCCTTCAGTTTCTAGAAAATTAAGGAAAAGTCCAGTCTCATCAAGTGTCAGGAATGTGATTCCATCTCCAAATCCTCCTCAGTAAATATTCCTTGATTTCTGCAGTTAGACTGAAACACCCTTTAAAATAGTTTTCTTCAAATTCTCTAATGCTCAGAGAAAAATTCTCCCTGCTCTATCCATCAGCTCCATTTGTGCAAAAAGGAACCCAAAGTATTTGATTTTCTTAGGAAATCGTTTCTGTAGCAGGAGGAAAAMCCCAATYCCAAACCCATTTCCCAYCTCTGACYRCTAAACCCAGCCAGAGCTCTCCAGMAATACCTCAAATCCCACCAAAASCTTCTTTTGGAATAATGCAAGTGAAATGAGGCAATCACTGGATTTAAAAAGCTGAAAATATCCCCCTGGAACAGAGGAAGAAGACACCCAGATGGGAATCTTATCCCAACCTACCTGGATTTCCAGAGATAATGGAAAACACCCCGAAATTATGCTTAAATCAGACCTTGATCAATGGTCAACCTCTTGTTTAAGGGACAGATGAATTTAGTGCTCAATAAACTCTGTATAAGAATTTTATACCGGAGAATATTCAACAATCCCTGCTATTAACAGATAAAACGTGTTTTTCTTCTACTTTAAAATTTTATTTKTGTCATTATCAGCAGCTCAGAGAGGACTTTTCTCTCCCTGCTCATGAAAAAATCAAACCAAAACACAAACCAGAAGAAAATCCCCTCCACAAATCTAAAAATCGCTGTGGAATAATTCATTTTCTGCGGCATTTCGTGGTTATGGRAGAGAATTGAGGTTGTAAAAAGTTCTGTATCCTCACTAAAATGATAAATGGATCCTCCTGCCTSACAGTCCCAAGGCTAAGGGTCACTGTCACTTTGATCCATCAATTACCAGATCTTCATTTAACTTTCTTCAGGACTAATAAAAATTATTTCACCTGACCTTCGCTGTCGAGGGCAGAGCGGAATTCCTCATTTAAACCCTYCCCATGTGTGAGCACGGGGTGGGCACCATTGTCATGCAAAGCTGGAATCACGTTTTTGGTGCTCCATCAGAGAAAGGAAAGCTATTTTTARAATATTTCACGCTTCTTATCAACTCTAAATTAATAAATGTATGCTAAGTGTGCATGCCATTTCTGTGCAATCGTGGTTCCCATACATCGACCTCCAAATTCTCCCAAATTCCTTCCTTTCAACAGCCAGAGGGGCTGATAGCATCTATGAGGGAGGAAAGGGGAATTATTGTGCATTTTAATGTGGTAAAAACTCATCCAGATGAAAAAAAACAGGAGAAGGGACTCACTTGAACCGAGCTGACACTTCATCAGCAGCTTTTTGGTATTGCTCAGTGGTGACTTTGTAGAACTGGGCACTCTGGAAAGAAAAAACAAAATAAATGCAGATTTCAGTTAATTGCATTTAACAGGCACGTTAATATCTCATAAATAAAGCTATTTTTTTATGTTTTACCCATTTGTTTGAAAAATCCCCAAACCAAACCATAAAATGAAGTTCCCAGAATTACTTATTTTGTGGGTGGTTTTTTTTTAGGTAATTGTGTCTTGATCATGCAAAAGAAACGGTTCTTGGTGAGGAAACCCTAAAGGGACACAGGGTAAGAATCCCATATTTAGCACAAAGTGTTCTTGGAGTTTTGCCATTTCTTCATTAGGAATTAAAATCAAAATCTTGACTCTTTGCAGTGCCCTGTTTGTGTTACCCACCCACATCTCCCACCTGCCTCACAGGTGATCAAACTTCAAATTCACACAAATTGAATCAAACTTCAAATTCACACAATAAATTCACAACAGCTCCACTTTCCCTTTTGTTCTTTGCCTGGAAAATGCCTCTCTGAGCAGTTTCTGGAATATTCCAAACTCCCAGGTCACTTCAACCAATTGCTAATTTTAATTTTCATAGCCAGGCAGCTTCAGGACAGATTTTCATTGCTCCTAAAGCCAGGGATGGTTTCACTGGGTTCCACAAAATCATTCATTTCTCAGGAAAAGATGAGAGAGGCTCAGCAAGCAACTTTTCCATGTGTAAAAATGGCACGGGGAATTTCTGGCCTTGGGGAAAAAAGGGGAGAATGTTCCAGAGGAATGGCACAGGGTCAGACAACTTTGGGAGGAGCTGGAGTGTGTCCAGGGATGGGAACGGAACTGGGAAAGGTCTGGAGAGCCAGGAGGGGCTGAGGGAGTTGGGAAAGGGGAAAAAACCTGGAAAAAGGGGGATCATGGGGGACTTTGTGGCTCTGCACAACTCCCGGACAGGAGGGGGGATTTGGGATCTCATCCCGGGGAACAGGGACAAGAGGAGAGGGAACGGCCTCAAATTGCACCAGGGGATGTTTGGTTTGGATATGAATTGAAAATTCCTCCCTGGAAAGGGCTGTGCACCCTGGCAGTGGTGGAATTCCCATCCCTGGAGAGATCCCAAACCCCTGTGGATGTGACATTTGGGGACAGGGACAGTGGTGGCCCTGGCAGAGCTGGGGATGGTCAGACTCTATGACCTTAAAGCTCTTTTCCAGCCTGAARGATTCAGTGATCCTGCAGCAAAAAATCACAGCAATGCTGTGATGCCTCATGTCTCAATAACACAGAGGTGGCATTTTTCAGGAGGTTTTTATAGCCTGGGCACAGCTGGAGCTGGGCTGTGATAACCACGGCACCTGGCTGCCCAGCTGGGGGGAGAAAGCAAAGTTAAAGCAGCTCCAAACTTCTCYAAATCCATTTTCCTCTAAAAGCTGCTGCAAACAGGTCACGGAGAGGCAAAAAGGTTGAGCTGGCACTTGGAAAAACTTTTTTTCTTTTTTTTTTTTTGTGCAGCTTTGAGTCATCGGCATCCCAGGGAGCGGCGTTAACGTGGCAACAAAATCCCTCCAGTCCCACACTGTGTGATGACATCAGAACCGTCCAAAYCGTGATTTTAACAGCCTGGGATTTCATCCCAGGGTTTGCAGTTATTGATGCCTCGATATTGATTTGGCATCTTTCAGATATTTCATGTTTTTCAGGATGGAGGAGATGGGATTGCTCATGCTGGGGAGGAGRAAGTTCTGGGAGAGCTCAGGGATTGAAGGGAAGCAGAAAACCAAACCAGACCCTGTTGAATTTTCCTTTCCAGGAGCTGGATTTATGTCCCTGTGGTGATATTTCATGGCAGAGATTCACA